CCAGAGTCAGGGCTCAAGAGTGTGACCAGGGTCAGGGCTCAGAGTGTGACCAGGATCAGGGCTCAGAGTGTGACCAAGGTCACGGGCTCAGAATGTGACCAGGAATCAGGGCTCAGAATGTGACCAGAGTCAGGGCTCAGGGTGTGACCAGGGTCAGGGCTCAGAGTGTGACCAGGGTCAGGGCTCAGAGTGTGACCAGGGTCAGGGCTCAGAGTGTGACCAGGGTCAGGGCTCAGAGTGTGACCAGGGTCAGGGCTCAGGGTGTGACCAGGGTCAGGGCTCAGGGTGTGACCAGGGTCAGGGCTCAGAGTGTGACCAGGGTCAGGGCTCAGAGTGTGACCAGGGTCAGGGCTCAGGGTGTGACCAGGGTCAGGGCTCAGGGTGTGACCAGGGTCAGGGCCCAGAGTGTGACCAGGGTCAGGGCTCAGGGTGTGACCAGGGTCAGGGCTCAGAGTGTGACCAGGGTCAGGGCTCAGGGTGTGACCAGGGTCAGGGCTGAGTGTGACCAGGGTCAGGGCTGAGTGTGACCAGGGTCAGGGCTCAGCGTGTGAGCAGGGCAGGGCTCCGAGTTCTTGGTGTATGTAGGCACAGGAGCACCCCTGCCTGACAGCAAGGGGCCTGAGTGTAATTTATGGGTCCCCCGTCCCTGTCTCCAGCACGGCAACGAGGGAGGGAGGTGAAGGAAGGACGGAGGGAGAAGTGGCCGAGGCAGGGGAGGCAGGAGCAGGGCTCAGAGTTTTTACCTGTGGTCAAGGTCTCTCAGTGGAGGGATGGAGCGCTTCTAGGCTGGCAGGACCCCAGCCCGGCCGCAGCCCCACTTCCCTCCCCTGCCCTACACACCCCTGGGTGGGGCACCGGCTCCCTCTCTGCCGCTGGAGAACCGACCCAGCGCTAGGCGGAGGGGCGGGGGGCACGGTTCATCACGGCCCGGACCAGAGTCTGGGCTCCACTGGCGAGCACCCAGCCTGTAGAAGGGTGAGTCGCAGGTGCCTGGCTAGCGTCAAAGGCGGTGCACCCTCCCCCAGCCCCTGGCGCCGGGGCCTCCCCGGGGGCCGCAGAGTCTTTGTCCCTCAAATGCTCATTGAGCCCTGGCCGGTTGGCCTTTGTGAATAGAGAGCGTCCGCCTCCGGACCAAAGGGTCCCGGGTTCGATTCCGGTCAAGGGCACGGACCTCGGTTGCAGGCTCCTCCCTGGCCCTGGGGCCTGGTCCGGGCATGTGCGGGAGGCAACCCATCGATGTGTCTCTCTCACATGGATGTGTCTCTGTCTTTCCCCCTCTCTCCCGCTCTCCCTGACAATCAGGGGGAAACGTCCGTGA